TGTTGGGAGATCCACTGCTCTCTTCAAAGCTGTCAGACAGAGTCCTTTGCATCTGCAGAGGTTTCTGCTGCTTTGTTGTTGTTGTTGTTGTTGTTGTTGTTGATTAGCTGTGCCCTGTCCCCAGAGGTGGAGTCTACAGAGACAGGCAGGGCTCCTTGAGCTGCTGTGAGCTCCACCCAGTTCCAGCTTCCCAGCTGCTTTGTTTACCTGCTTACACCTCAGCAATGGCGGGCGCCCCTCCCCCAGCCTTGCTGCTGCCTTGCAGTTAGATCGCAGACTGCTGTGCTAGCAATGAGGGAGGCTCCGTGGGCGGGTGTGGGACCCTCCCGGCCAGTTGTGGGATATAATCTCCTGGTGTGCCCATTTGCTAAGACACTTGGGACAGCACAGTATTGGGGTGGGAGTTACCCGATTTTCCAGGTGTTATGTGTCTCAGTTCCCCTGGCTTGGAAAAGGGATTCCCTTCCCCCTTGCGCTTCCCAGGTGAGGCGATGCCTCGCCCTGCTTCAGCTCTCGCTGGTCGGGCTGCAGCAACTGACCAGCACCGATTGTCCGGCACTCCCTAGTGAGATGAACCCAGTACCCAGTTGAAAATGCAGAAATCACCTGTCTTCTGTGTCGTTCTCGCTGGGAGCTGGAGACTGAAGCTGTTCCTATTCGGCCATCTTGCTCCACCCATCTTAAATTGATTTCTATAAATATGCTAAGAAATAGGAGTCCAGATTTATTCTTTTACATATGACAATTCAATTGTCCCAGCACCAATTATTGAAAAGGGTGTGCTTTCCCCACAGTGTATTCTTGTCAACTTTCTCAAAGATCAGTTGGCTGTAAATGTGTGGCTTTCATTCTGGGTTATCTCATCTGTTACATTGATCTGTGTGTCTATTTTTATACCACTACCATGCTGTATTGTTGACTATGGCTTTGTAATATAATTTGAAATCAGCAAATGTGATGCTCCCAGCTTTGTTCATTTGATTCGGCTGGAAAGGCTGAGTTGACAGTTACAGAGATGACAGCTGCCATTCCCAGAGGGCCACCATCCCAGAAAGAGATCAGGCTTTCCACCAACCATATAACCCTGGCTAGAGTTCCTGAAATTTTGGTAGGGAGAACCTACTCAGTGAGGAGGTATGAACCAAGGTCAAATTTAAAGAAACAGTCTGGCCACTATCAGGCACAGCAGCAGTGCTGCCTTGTGGGGTACCCCTCCTGCTCCAGACCACTGGACTCCCTTGAGCCCAAAGGTTAGAGTGTCTGAGTCCACGGAAACACAGAGATGGTAGCCGCCCCAACCTTCCAGAACTTGGTAGTCTCAGGCAGTCTCCAGCGTATTGCCACTGCTTGGCTGGTATGCCAAGCCAGTGGGACTTAACTTGAGAGGTGCTGTGAAAGTGGGGCCAACAGAATGAGCCTCTCTGGCTCCCTGTGATATGGCTCCGATGAGTAGAGGAACACGAGGGCTCATGTCTCACGCCGAATTGGAGAAAATGACACAAAAACACATACTGTGGTTAAGGAGCTCAGAGTTTAATATGCAAGAAAGAAGAAAGAAGCTCCCCATACTGAGACAGAGGGAGGGGGGGCTCCAAAGCCAAAAGAGGAAACCCAGAGTGCTGTGGATACCAGGCAGTTACTTGAGGAAGCTGGAGGAGGCGGTGTCTTAATTGCATAGGGTTCAGGGGATTGGTTTGACCAGGCATGTCTTTTAGGTAGCCCGCGACAAAACTGGCCTTTCCACCCTAGCCTTTGAATATGCATGTGCCGGCGGCCATGATGTCCTACACACATGGGGATATGTGGGGGTTGTCAGGCACAGGTAGGGGCAAGGGCCAGAAGCAGGCGGGAATCACCATGTTTGGGTGGACCCAGTTTCTAATGGCCAGCATTTGCCGCTCAAATGTTACCAGAGAACTCTAAAAGACAGGGCTTTCCTGCTAGACAAGACTCATTTCTGGAGCTGCTTTAAAAATAAACAAAACTTCCCAAGGACCCCTTTTCCTCTCTATCTGCCTGAAATAATTTCTTAAAAACTCCTGTAACACCTGAATTCAGCCCCCTTCCTGGGGAAATGTATAGACGGAACTCCCGGCTTTCCCGGCTTCCCAAGGCCCGGGTATGTAAACTCCTGGGTCTCTATGTGTGTCTGAGCGGCTGCTCTGCCAGCACTCCACACAGCCCTGTGTCCTGGACCCAAGGCCCTTATGAGCTGAGCTCATGAGGGGATCTGCTGATTCATAGGTCGCAAAGATCCATGGGAGAAGCATGGTTTCTGGGGCGGGGTCTCACACTGACTCGCGGCTTCCCTCAGATGGCGGAGGTGGTTCCTTTGGCTCTGTGACCATACAGGGCGAATCATCATCCCTTCCTGTTTTCTTTGTTCTCCTGGGTCAAGCTGTTTACCTAGTCAGTCCCAATGTGAGAACATGAATATTTCAGATGAGGCGCTTATTTCGCAGTTCCCCACGCCTTTCACTCAGCCAAAGGCAGCTGCTTCTAATTGGCCATCTTGGCCCGCGCCCCCCCCCGCCCACCACGTGACCTTCTATAAAATGCCTCCGCTCTCCAGGAACACTGTCATTCTATAATTTTGCCTGAAACCAACAACACCCTTACTGCAGGTGTCATGGGCTTACTTATTTCACTTATGAAGATGGCGGTCAAGGAAGTGATAGTGCCTGAAATGGTCAAGTTTCTGACGGATGTGATAGAAAATTGGTGTGCCAACCAATTAATGACATACGCCCCAGAACTAGCAACAGAATGCCTTATCGCCGCGCTGAGGTTGCTAATCGGGACGATGCTCACCTATGTACTCAAGGAGGCACTTTCCCTTCTTTAAAAGCTGCTGAAATGCTACAAAAACATCTCATGTTTGCTGAAGATGGTGCGTAGACAAGCAGCACAAGTCATTTAAATATAACTTTCTATTCGGAAATCCAGCACGATATTCGCACAATTGTTGGAAAATCTTACCATTTCATGAGTCCTGCACGTTTCCTTTAATTTCAGAAGGAAGAAAGTAATCCAGAAAAGTGTCCTGACCTGCGTCTGCTGCTGCGATTTAACAACCACCCGGATATTTTGATGACACTGCTCTCTGGAGCTCCTCTCTTTCCTCCGGGAAAAAACGAATGAAACAAAGAAAATAAAGTGTTATTTGGCTGAAGTGAGGTCTCCTGGCTGTTTACGTGGTGGCTTGCTGCTCAATACAGGGTGAGTCTCTGGGTTGTGTGCTGAGGAGGGGAGGCTCTCAATCTGGAGTAAACCCATTGCAGGGGACACCTCCACGGGGTCTGAGGATGAGGAGCCGGACTAGGTCTAAGGAAGGAGGACGTTTCAGAGGTTGAAATTCTGGCAGTAAATACGGGGGGTGTTCGAGAACTTCTTCCTTCAGAAGGAGAAGTTTCAGGGAGGGATAAAGACAAATCCTGGGCGCCTTGAGGGGTATTTACTAATTTGAGAGGACTCTATCGGGAAGCAGAGTGACTATGGCCTCCTTGAGGACTGAGACCCCTGAATAAATGAGGCTCAGATCCCGTCCATGGCCTATGAGACCTGCAAGGGACACATTTTGGTTGGGACAGAGGGAAAGTGCAGCTCTGCAGCTGCGGAGGAAAACCCGGCAGTGTGAAAGCGGCCTTGGAGGGGCCCTGTGCACTGTGAATGCTTCCGAGCCCCCATGTCCTGTCCCGGCCTCTTTTTCTGGATTCTTCCGGCTCGGCTGTCTCCACCCTCTCCGCCATCTTCTGAGCGCTCCACGCTGCTCTCTTCAAGTTTCCCTTCTAGGCTCCAAGTACTAGAAAATCTTTCAGATACGTGTCCCCACCCATGTTTTTAGCATGTGTTGGGGCTTCAAGTCCCTGAAGGTTTCTGGCCGGAAATCCACCTCCCTAGCCGCGCCCACTCTGCTCTAGAGACTCCGCACTCCGCAAGGTTCCCAGGGCCCTGAGGGACAACTGAGTGGTCTGCGCACTTCAGGGCTCCACACTCGGGAAGGTTTTTCAAGTCCTTGGGGTACCCTCCCCAGTGTTTTCCACTTTTCTGGGCTGCAGTCACTCTATAAAAGCCAGGATATTATCTCCACCCCCACTCTAGTTCCCTCAGTTCTGCAGGCTGCACGCTCGGCAAGGTCCTCCGGGCCTTGGATCCCCTCCCTCTCCCTATTCCCATGCTCCTAGTCAGCCCTGCTGGGGTCCACTAGTTTCAGGAACTAACCATTCCCATGGAGCATTGCTAACCGGAAAGCTGTTTCAGAACAAGCAGCCAGATTCGCTCCTGGACAGCACTGGACACTGGCCGTTTCTCTGAAAACTACTCACCCTTTCTCTAGTCCCCACTTCACGACAGCCTCCTACCCTCTTCCTTCCCCCACGCTGGCTTCCGAGATCCTCCTCTGCTCAGACAACCTCCTCTATCTCCCGCCCCCGTTTTTAGAATGCTTTGGGGTTCCAGGTGGGGGAAGGTTTCTGGCCTGAGATCCACTTCTTTCCAAACTCCCTTCTTCTCTTGAACAGCTTCCTGCCTTCAGCCTCACTTCTGCCTCCGAGGTATCAGGACACCTTCCTCTTCATCCTCATTCTTTTGACCACCAGCCTTTTAGGAATTCCAACTTCTCTCTCATCTTCGTGAATCCTGTCCAGGAATTTGCTGACCCCTTCATCTGATACGCAGGAGCTCACATTACCGAAAGTCTACCCCTACCCCAGTCACACTGGAATTAGACAAAATCCCAGGAGTTTTACTTCAACTCTGAGTGTGCCCACAGAAGCTCTCCCTGAAGCCACTTCCTTTTAAGCTGGGTCTAGGGTTCCTCCCTTGTCTTAATGAACGCTGTCACACGGAGGATGTTTTGGAGTCCTTATGATCTTTCATTGCCTTTCTGCCGAGCATTTTGTCTTTTCATGGACATTTGTATTTGTTTTGGACAGATATTTTGTTCTTTCTATGTCCACCCCTAATTTCCAACATCCCAAGATTCTGATGTGTTTCTTGAAAGCCATTTACAGGAATGTCTGTGTGTGCACTGCCCAGACCCCCTTCCCCAGGCTCCTCCTTCACACCTGGTGGGTGCCTCTCCTAGAGAGATTGACATGCAGTCATATGGCCCAGATGGTTGTTAATCACCCCCTTCCTGGCAACAGCTAGCAGCCAGGGAATCACTGGCACAGAAGTCTCAGGGTGACCAAGATGAGGCCACTTCTTTGCTGAAGCCTGTGCTCCAGAGCCTGTCTGGGATCAGGCTTAAGCAGGTCTTCAGCCAGACCTGATGTTACCTGCTTTCCTTGAACTGCCCTGCCTGAGCTATCGGGAGCACTCCCTCAATGCAAATCTTGATTCCCTATCTAATGCTCTGCTTCTAGAAACCATGACCTAGCAGTCACCACTGGTAATGGTCCTGGGAAGTTAACCCTAAGTATGGATTCTGGGGTTGGATGATTCTCCACAGGACTGCAATGAGCACCCATCACTGCTGGCAATTGGAAGACAGAGAGTCGCTAGAGCATGTGACCATTGTAGAATCACCGATGTTTCACCTGGGGTAATTTTGGATGAACTACACTAGAAGCACTGAAAGTACATTGCCTTTGGTTTGGAAGATTGTAGGTAAATAATAGCAATAGGAATGTGGCATTGAGTGGCTGCAAACTGCCATTGATGCATTGAAAGAGGAAAAGACAGGCTCTTACCTGTCACTCAGCAATTTAAAGTGTGAGAGTTGGGACTAGGTGTGGTGGGTCACATCTATAATCCAGAGATTCAGGGGAAGCTTGAGGAGGTAGGATCTTTTGAGTCCAGGAGATCCAGCCCAGCCTGGACACCAGAGCAAGACGTCATCTCTACAACAAAATTTTCTTAAAACTTAGATGGGCTGGTGACATGCACCTGTACTAGCAGATCTAGCCAATGGAGAGTATGAGATAAAAAAATCACCTGAGCCAGGGACTTAGAGGTTACAGTGAGGTATGATTGTGCACTGCACACACTCCAGCCTGGCCAACAGAGTGAGATTCTGCTTCAAAATATGTAAGAAATAAACCAGGTTTGAGAGTTGGAAAGCATCATCATCTCCTAGGGCCAAAGGACATGTACACCTGAGGCCCAGACACAAGGCTTCATCACAAAGAGACCAGTCATCAATGGAGCCAGGAGATGCATTCCCCTTCACCCCACCTTTAGCAGGTAATAGAGACATCTGTTCGGGATCCTCTATGACCCAGCCCTATTTGTCTGTCTCTTTGTCTTCTTTGGATTTGTATATTTTAGCTGTTATAACACTGTAATAACAAATAGAGTGATTTTTTTAGTTGCGTGAGTGATGCTAGCTCCATAGTAATCTTGTGACTGATGGGAACTTTTGAATTTGTGGCAAGTTGGAGGGTAGTGTGAATGACCTAAGATTGCCAAATTGGGACTAGCATTGGATGTGAGGTTAGGCAAGTGGAAAAATTTGCCCAGAACCTGGGGAGTGTGGGCTCACTGCAGGTGGTTAGGATCAGAACAGAATTGCATGGATGTAGAGCTTTGAGGTAAAGAATAACGTAGCTCAAAAGCGCATGTATTAGTCTCTTCATGTGCTGCTATAAAGATTACCTAAGCCTGGGTAATTATTTATAAAAACTCAGGTTTAATTGGCTCATGGTTGCACAGGCTGTACAAAAAGCATGGTGCTTCATCAACTCAACTTCTAGGGAGGCCTCAGAAAAATAAAGTCATGGCAAAAATTACAAGGGAAGCAGGCTCATCTTCCATGGCTAGAGCTGGAGCAAGTGGTAGGAGAGGTGCTACACACTTTCAAACAACCAGATCTTTTGTGAACTGTATCACCAGAAAGCACCTAGGGGATGGTGCTAAATTATTCATGAGAGATCCACCCCCATGATCCACTCAACTCTCACCAGCACAACCAGCCCCACCTCCACCATTGGGGATTACAATTTCACATGAAGTGTGGGTGGGGACACAGATCCAATCTCGACCAGTAAGCATCCTGGATTGTGTCTCCTGTAGAAGAAGAATCAGAAGGTGACTATGATTTTTAAGACTACCCATGATGGCCAGGCGGGGTGGCTCATGCCTGTAATCCCAGCATTTTGGGCAGCAGAGGTGGGAGGATCAACTGAGGTCAGGAATCTGAGACCAGCCTGGCCAATATGGTGAAACCTTTTCTCTACTAAAACTACAGAAAATTAGCTGACCGTTGTGCCAGATGCCTGTAATCACACCTATTCTGGAGACTGAGGCAGGAGAATTGCTTCAACCCGGGAGGTGGAGGTGGCAGTGACCCTGGTCGCGCCACTACACTCCAGCATGGGCAACAATACCAAAACTTAGGCTCAAAAGAAAAAAAGACTGCCCATGACCACTGCACCAGTGCAGGGGACACCAACATTGCTGAGATGTAAGCGCTGGACATTCTTCATAGGTCAGAGCTCAAAGCAGGGGACGCTGTTACAGAGATGGGCTCCTTTCATGGCACCAAAGTGGTGAAAGGATGTGGGAATGGCAGAGGCCAGCACTTTGCTATCAATGCAAGGTAGGCATAAGGAGCTGGCAGCAGTGTGAGAGTGCATCAGAGCAGGACTGACCTGCAATATCTAGGACTTACCTCTTAGAGCATGTTTCATTATGGAAAATAGATATAAACGGCAGACAAGTGTGTCCCTTCATTAACAGGAAATAAAGATCATCAAGATGAACAGAAGTCAGATGTCACCAGCCCCCATATACAGTCATCATCCTTCATCCAGTTAAAACGCGAGACAGTTCTGACACAAGAAGGTCTAACTCAAAAATAGGCTGGGTTCTCATGAGGCAGATTCATGCAAAACCAAGGGAAGTATACAACTCTGGAATTCTCCCGTATCCCTTGGAAAAGACCTAGAGTCGTTTGCTTAGGTAACTGAACACTGAAAAAAGGTGAGTGTTGTTATCTTTCAGAAGCTCTTGGCCATGAAGGCCTTGTTGGCATAAAACCCATGGTTTGGAAACATCACCATGACCCCTGTTAGAGTAATGGCTTAAGGGTGGGGGTCAGGAAATTGATGTATTCCTTGCCAACTTCTGCCTCTAAGTGAGTGCATTCTGTTTGTGAACCTCTCACCTCTACGGGTATGTTCCTAGGATCTCATGTATAATCAGGAGTCATAGACTTAGAAACGGGAAAAATACTTAGAGTGTTTCCATGGCCTGTGAGCTATAATTTATAATTCTAG